AGTCCTGGACCTAGGTGACTTATTTTCTCACTTTTCTTTTTTCTCTGTCTCTCTGTCTCTCTCTGGTCAAATTAAAAAATTAAAAATGGCAAATAAAATAAATAATTATTTTTTAAAAGTTGTCTACACTAGTAACAAATACTAGAAACAGTATAGGGGGTTGTTTAAATTATATGGCTTCTATAGAGTCAATGATGTTCTATTAAAAGGCACAGTTTCAACACAGTTCAAAGTGTTTAAGACAGAAATAAGACCACGTTGACTTACAATTGCCTGCTTGGATCACTCCCTCACCTCTTTCAGGCATTTATTCAGTATCTTCATCTCACTGAGACCTTCCTTGACCACACTATCTAAACTGCAGTCCACACACACACACACACACACACACACACACGTCCTTTCCCTCATTCCTCTCCTCATATGTCACTATCCACCACTGTGCATTTTACTTCTCCGTCTTGTTCACTGCTGTTGGGATGTAAGTTCCATGGGGGAAGATACACTGCACGGGTTTTATTCATTGTTGATTCTTTGGCAAGCACATTCTGCTTGCAGGCAGCAGTCAACAGGGATCTGCTAAATTGGCAACACGTTAACTGAAAAAGCAGGTTGTATCAGTATGTATCACAAAAACTTATTTTTGTATTTCTAAGAGACAAAGTAATCACAAACATGAAGAAAAGGACTGGAGGGAAGACAAGGTATTAATAGTTCATGAATCCCATGATCTGTTGGAGATTAGAAGCTTCTGTTGTATATCCTCCTGGATATACTGAATATGTAATAAATTCTCCGGACTGAGAGTCCTATGTACAAGAAGCCTACGAGTCACAGCCTCATAGCACAATCCTTCAGCCTGGAGCAGTGGTTTTCAAGGGCATTTCCAACACAGTAGCCTGGGAAGAAGCTGAATCCATGTCACCTGAAATCTGGTAGCACAGCCTGCAGTGAACTGGAAATGTCCTAGAAATCTCTCATTTAATCTCAAAAATTAATGCAAATATTGCAGTCTATTGGATAATTTCTTTGTATTATCATTAAAATGCATTGTATTACTTTCAGTTAAATTAGTACACATTTCCTCACAAAGCTTTTGACCACCAAGAAGATGTCCAATGTATCCCCTGCCTGCTGGCACCAGCCCACTGTGCAAGGGTGCCCAGATGTGCCAAGCGACAGAGGCCAGTACAGTTCATCAAGCTTTTACTGAGATTACTTGTGTGCTCAGGACAGATGAAAGACTGTTCAGTAAACATACACATTTACATAAATACACACATACATATATATACACATATATGCATATATTTACATATTGCATATTTATACATATATACATATGTATGTACATTTGTATACATAGTGCATATATATGAACATATATATGTGTGTGTGTATGTATATATATATATATATACACACATATATATATATATATATATATGCACTATGTATATACATATGCTTAGTAGGGTCCTTAAAATCACACTGTAACTCTCACTCAAAGATAGTTTTACATAAGGGTTCAACAGGTAAATCCCATTTGGTACTATTGGGTCATCAGAAAAATCATGACTTTTTTTCTGGTTTTCTATGCAAAAAATGCATTACAAGTTTTCTGATAATCCAACAGTTATTCAGAACAACAAAAATGTACCAAAGTCTTTTCTTACCTAAACCCCCAATCAATAGGATATGAGAACAAATGGATATGCTTCCATCACTGACTCAAATGTTTAATAGATTTATTAATTCAGTTCAATTCTACAAACACTACTTAATCCCATCTCTGTAGAAGGTAATGTGCTCAGTGCTTTAAAACTTATTTCATCCTCCTTTGTTTAGCTGGAATATGAAGGCTATTTTATTACCCACGTTTTCACACTTTAAAAATGTTAAAATCTATTTTTTGCTGTTTTGCTTTTCCTCATTAAAAGAGATCTCATAGAGCCCCTCACAGCACAGATTAGAGGACAAAGGCTCTAGGCAATAAGAGAGACCTAAAGACTCAAGCCAGAGGCAGAGGGCCCCTGAAATCAGCACCCCTGCTGTCCTCTCTGAGCTCTTTCTACCAGGCCTCAGCACATCTTAATATAACACTGGGCACTGTTGAAACCACATCTGCATTCTCCATAGCATAAACCTACTACACATTTTTAAACGCCACACAATTACCAAACAAGTAAGGCCCACGTATGTCCTCATCCAGTGTACACCTGTTTACAAGGTTAGGTGTAGACATATATGAAACATTTAGCAAGATAACATTTAGGTGAAAAACACTTTTTAAATGACATATCTGTGCCTGATAGCTTTGAATAACTCCATTTTTAAAAAACTTAATCATAAAGAACAGAGGTTTATTTGGCCGACAATGCTGGTGGCTGGAAAGACCAAATGCACGGGGCCAGCATCTGGCCAATCTCTGGTTCTAGGTCACAACATGACTGAGAGAAATGGAAAGAAAATCAGGAGTTTGCACAGACAGTGTAAGTCCAGCATTTTTAAGTCTAATTTCTGTGCCTAACTTTTAACATCTGGTAAGGCAAATAAATTAAAACAGGTATAAATTAAACTGATATAACTGATATACTTTCTGTTTTCTTGTAGATTGTGATATTTATACATATTCATATTTTGTGTTAATAACCACTAATTCCTTATTAACACCTAATTTTCCACAATGAGACATAAACAATAACCACTTGCTTTGGCCATGGTCAATCACTCTTTACTTAGCAGCTGGTTTTTCTTTACCAAAAAGAATATATGTGTCTCCAAATCACAGGCTGAAACGCCAGGTTGCTTTACCAGCATAATGACAGGCATTCTAATCACACATTCCACCAGAAATGCACTTCCATTTACAAAGAAATGAAAGACGAATCTCATAAAAATCATTTTGCTTCCCCCTGAACAGAACACTATATAAAATAGACTAATTTTAGTAATAGTGGTAAATTGATCTAAAGTTCAAGTTTCCTATTAAAATTCTAGTCTTTGTCTCCTACGTAATAGAATATTGTAATCATTATCACCATTTATTTGTCACCAGTCTTGTGATGTGTCTAGCATTACTGCTGTTGAATCAAGAACTACTACCACAGGGCTAAGAAATATGGCTGTGCTTCTGAAACTCCAGTAAGTGGGATCGTGGAGATCCAGGAAGGACATGGGAACAGAGTCCTGGACAGTCAAAAAAAAAAAAAAAAAACACCTTATGTAGTTGAACTAGTAAATAATAAATTTGGGGAAGAGGGGCTTAAACAAAGACTTGGTTTATGAAAAAATTATGCATGATTTTTTATACCTGTAAGTCGAGGAGTCTTATAGTCAAATAGATAATCCTCAAGAATGCCACCTGTGGTTTTGGCAGTGGCTTAGTGATGGAGGCACTGGACTCCCACATGACCTACCAAGGACCGAGTCCTGGACATGGTGACTAGCTTTCTCACTTTACCTCTCTCTCTCTCTGATCAAATTAAAAATAACAGTAAATTAAATTACTACTTGGAGGGAAAAAAAGAATGCCACTTGTTCTTAGCATTATCTTCCCACCTGGTGAACTGGGGTGAGGGGCACAAGACTAGAACATCTTATGATAAAATGAGACAGATTTAATAAGGTATCCTTATAGCATGTTGACACTCCAGAGATACTGATCACTTTACTTCTTCCCATTAAATTGAAGGTCATTCTGAAAAGTAGATGTAGGCTTCTCCAAGTTACAAGATAACAAAAAAATAAATAAAAGGTAGAAAGTTGAAAGGTGATTTCCAGTTCCAGGAAGGTGAAAATATAACACAGGAACGACGCAGAAGTAAACTGCTCTAGGAAGTGTGCGGGTGGAGAGCCCTCTCGGCCACCGGCCTCCAGCAGGCACAGACCCCTGCATCTGGACCTGAGGTCTGCATCTGCCCGCACGTGCAGAGCATCCCCCAGAAAGCTGCAGGGGCCTACCCCGTCCCCAAGGCGCCAGCTGACAGGCAGAAGACTATATCCTTGGGAAGCGACCCTACTCCTGTCATAACGTGGGGTATCCCAAGTTTCCAGGGTGGAGCGATTTCCTTCGACAGCCCTTTCACACCTTTCCCGCCTTAAAAAGTCACAGTGCCAGGCCAGGACCAATAAAAACCCACAAGAAGGCGTGGCGGGGCGTGGCGGGAGCCGGGCCGGCGAGGGTCTATCCCGGCCAAGGAGCCGCCCACACCCCGGCGGTGATCACCTGAAGCGGGAGAACCCGGCGCGCCCCAGCCCAGCGCCGCTGCCGCGGAGGGGTTGGCCCAGCGCCTGCAGCCAGTGTTGCAGCATCCGACCGCGCCCGGTCGCCATGGAGACCTGGCGGGACCGGGGGAAGGGGCGCACTGCTCCAAGCCACGCCCACGCGCGCGTGCGCACGAGGCTGACGGCCAGGCGCCGGCTCGGCGGGCGGCCTGAGACCTTAGCCTTAACTCCGTCTCCCTGGGCGGGGTTCTAGAAATTTCTGGGGCCGACTTCTTTCCCACGCTCCCGAAGACGTGTGGCCATCGGCCCGCCGCTCGGAGTTCACGACACCTCCGCCTGCGTCGTGGCAGCCTCGTTCGTCTCTGCTGGCTCTTTACCGTCTGGTTTTCCCGAGCATAAGCTGAACACAAAACCTAAATCATGTGTCCCTGAGGAACAATGCCACAGTGGAACGGTGTCCCGCTTTCTCCCAGTTGATACAGCCCTCTCTGGAGGGGTTACGAGAACACGTACTTGATAACCACTTTTTTGAGTTTCACAACTTCCGCTAAAAGTAGGCGGTATCCGGTGCTGGAAGGCCCCCCACAAACATGGCCCCGCCCCGTCGCCCCGAGGACGTGCGGCGCGTGCGCTCCTGACCCGCAGAGGCTCCTGGGCCGTGGAAAGGGCCGGCGGGCGCGGAGCTTTGCATTGTGGGAGTTGTAGTCTTCTATAGCCTCTCCGCTGGGCAACGCGGCTAGGAGTGAGGTCCGAAAACTACTACTCCCAGGAGGCCGGGAGGCTTCCCAGGTTGCTTTGCGAAGGTACGGCGGGGAGACTGTAAATGTCAGTCGGCACACAAGGCAATCAGAGCGTTTAAATCCGAATAAAAAGAGGACAGACGCTAAGGTGCATATCAACTTATCTTGGAAGAACTTTTGTCTTAGTATCCGTTGCTGGAGCTGACGTTTTTCCCCTGCACGCCATGTAATAAGAACGCGTAGGCGCGGATACGTATCTAGCGGGTGTGTGGAGGGTTGTGAAGCCTTGCTAATTATAGTGGGCTGGCTCCTAAGTGGGACAGTTCTCCGTGAACATGATTAGTATTTTTCTACGAGTTGTGCACTATTCAGAAAAGCTGCACAGGTCCTCGGGGAAGCGATTGTTTTTGCCACACCTCGTATGTAACAAAGCTTGCTTGAAGACTGAACCCAGCTTGAGATGGTGGCTGCAAGAGCAGATGAAAACGGTGGGACCTCGAGATATCCTTAGAGTTACCCAGAAAGCCATCTGGACGCAGGGACCCAGTGCCCTGAAAGCAAAAGAGGACAGCAGCAAACAGGTGTCCGTGCACAGAAGTCAGAGAGGAGAAACCGCCATCTCAACATCTCAGAAAGGTAAAGAGGAATACTTCTGTAATGATTAGTATTCCAGCAAACATGACAAGAGCTGCCAGTGGCTTTTTACACCAAACTTTTTACTAAAGATGGAGTAACAGTTCGCACAAATAAAAAGCAGAACCGTTAAACATAATTTAGAATCCAGAGGATATAGACTTGCAGTTTTCTTCACAAATTTGAACACAGATTTGAAAGTTGATTTTGAATTAGGGCATAACTTTCTTGCATTATGTCGAGGAATTTTTTCTCAACTTAGTTCTAGTACCTTAGTTCATTAGTACCTAATGAAGAGTAATTAGATAGGGTGAATTAAAAAAGAGATTATTGAGTCATATTCAATATGAAAATTTTCACATAGGTTAACTAAATGGAAACTTCTATTAAGTAACTGCTGTTTATGCCCAGAAACTAATTTAAATTCTGTTTACTATGAAATTATAGATGTCCAAAACAGAGCGGGACCTGTTACCTAATAGTTAAGGGAGCCAGATCCCATGTGGCAACTGAGGTTTGATTCTCAGCCCAATGGCTTGAAAAACACCTCCAGGGAATGTGATACACGCCCAAAATCCCAACAGAATGGAGAAGGGGGGAAGGGATTGCCCATGACCACCTCATTGAGGAGAGGGTGCTTATACTTCCTTTTTTTTCTCTCTCTCTCTCTGTCTCTCTGTCTCACTGTTTCTGGTGAAGGCACAGGTCCTCTGACAATTTAAAAAACAGGATGTCACAAACATTTCTTGCCCTCAGATGTTCTGTGCAGTTACAGAATAACCATACCAAATAAGGAGGATAAAATGTAATTCTATTGGAGAGAGATTGTTTTTCTCATCTATTTTAAATTTAATTATCTTATTATTTATTTCTTCATTTCACAAATAATTTACAGAAAAAAATGAAAAGGCAGAGAAAGCAATTCAGATGTGATTATATCTTACAAAGATGACTATTGACTATAGTATTTTGATACTTATACTTAATAATGTTTAACAAAAACATGAAGCATATCCTGCCAGCTGTTTTGTAATCTGCCGAACGAATCAAAAATGTAATCCAGTTTTCACTCGTCCCAGCAGTTGAGCACAGAGGCCCAGCCCGTGTGCGGCAGTGAGAGGCACAGATGTGTCAAGCAGCGTGTGTGCCAGGTTGTCTGGCTCAGCATTACTACTGCTTGCACTGCAGGCTGGGCCTGCACAGAGCCCTTTCCTGGTCGGGACCCCATTCAGAATGGAGAACAGTATTACCAAATGTGGAACTTCTCTTTTCAAAAATCCAAAGAGGCCTATCAAACATTGTGGCAGGAAGTGGAGGATGCAGTCATTTGTATTTTACATGGAAGAGATGTCCCAGCGTGCCCCAGACAGTGTTCCCCTATGAGTTTCACTGACTTAGTTAGTGAGCCTCTGGATTTCTGGGCCCATCGCTCACACTGGGAGCACATATCTTACCAAGACTTCCAGCACACTTGCCACTTGTTACTTACCGGCTTTAACATGACAGCGTGGCGGAGACACACATAATATCTGCCAAATGGCCAGACAGCACTGTCCCAATACAGCCTTCGGCAGTGATGGCAGTGGACTGACTGTGCTGCCAGTAGGTAGCCACTGGCCACGTGTGTCTGTTGAGCACTTGAAATGTTGCTCTTGTGGCTGATAAGCCTGGCTTGTTTCATTTTAACTAATTTAAAGTCAACTAAAATAGTCCTGCATAGTTAGTGCCCACTATATGAGACAGCCCAGGTCCAGAAGGTTCTGGCTATTTAAGGCTATCTGGAAAAGCCCACAGATAGACCCTGTCATCTGTTTCATGTGACTACAAGCTCCTGCTGCTGCTTGTCAGTGCATACAGAAGAGCAGGCATTCTTCGAATCAGTGGCCCATACCAGGAGGGTGCAGGTGCATTACTGTGCTCTCACAGTTACTGCATCTGACACTGCATCTTTTTTTTTTTAATTCATTTAATTTTACGTTCATTCGCTGAACATCATCACAACATACAAAATGCAATTTCCCATCCAGAATACACTGTAAAGTAGCATAATCATACATGTTATCATCAGCAAGTAATTTTCCATTTCTTGTATCATATATATACATATACACACACACACACACACATATATATGTATGTATATACATACATACATACATATACAGTGAAAGGACCAAGCAGAGAAAAGTAGGCAACAGGGAGCCCCCATGGGAGACAGCTGTGCCGTAACCTTAAACAGGTGTGTTAGACACGTACAGAATCTGGGCGGTGTTCAGCACGGCCTTCACACGCTGTGGTGGCTGCTTGTGACCGAACAGGTGGGAAAAAAGACCTGTCACGTGCCCTGCCAAAGCAAGGCAGGACTGAACTATTGGGAGGAACATTCAGAAATCCAAGGCATTGGGGCCCCGGGACCAAAAAAGTATAAATGTAATTGTTAGGTTAATGCAGTGTGATTGCATGCCTATGAAGATGCGTCTACATATTACATATATAGTTACATGTACTTACATACTGTGTCCTCTGAGGATGTCTACATAGAATTCCTTCCGTTCTCAGAACTTCTGTTTATTCTGTGTACACCTCTCTTACCGGTGTGACAAAAATAAGTACAGCCTGTTTTCACTTTCTAAATATGTTCACTTTATACATCTTGGCCAACCAAATTCCTATTCCAAATTCGTCCTGTTTTTATGCACCAGCTAGTGAGGGGAAGCTGTGGCATTGAGAGAGTTACTGACTATTAAGAGCTGGTGTCCCTTTTGGTCCCCTGTCCTGTGGGATGGCAAAGCTGACACTCTCCCTAACCTGTGAACCGCAGCTATTTGTCCAGGGTTGCCCAGTCAGGGTCAGCCTTCACTCCGAGGGACTGGATTGCTTGTGAAAGGCCATCAGGTGCACTGCAGTGATGATCCCGTGGCCCTGCCCCCAGAGCTGTGCCGCAGTTCCAATGTGCAGGGAGCTCTGAGCACCACTGCTGTGGTGTGCCAGAGCTGCTTTGGTCCTGAGGCTTCAGCTGCTGGACCCACAGGGGTGGTGACGGCAGAACATGTGTGACTGACTCGTCGGTGTTTTCTCTTTGCAGTAAAAGAAGCCGGAAGAGATTTCACCTACTTAATTGTGGTGATTATTGGGATCGGCATTACAGGTTGCAAACCGCAAGTATAACCCCCCAGAGTCTTCGTAATGCCCCTCTTTGTCTTGCTCTCGCTTTGCTTCATCTTCTTTGTTTTTGAATTTTCAGGTGGTTTGTTCTATGCAATATTCAAAGAACTTTTTTCTTCATCCAGTCCTAATAAGATATATGGGAAAGCCTTGGAAAAATGCAGATCACATCCCGAGGTTGGTTCTGGGCGAGCAAGGCTCACATGGCAGTGCAAGATGGCTGGCTGTGAGGATGTCAGGAGCTCTTGGTTCTGTACTGGAGACACTTTGATGGAGAGCAGCCCAAGGTCAATGCAAGGCTGTGTTTTTTAGACATAGGAAAGGGTTGTTTTACGAATGGTTCTTAGACACTAAATGTTTAGCATACACATGGTAAGTTTCTGGTCATTCAAACCAGGCTGTTCCTGGCCTCCTGCCTATGCCAGTAGTGGTTGGCACTTGCTGAGAATGAATTATGCAGGCATGGTGCTTGGTGGCTCAGAGCCCCGTCCTCCCATCTGCGGTCGGTACTCCATCATCTGTTTGCAGAAGGGGAAACTGACACAGCGGTGATGGAGCTCCACGTGGCCGTGAACCTGGACCAGGCTGGCTGATTCCAGATCCCGTGCTTGTGCAGAGTCTGCCCAGCTCATCAGGAGCAGCAGACATGTGGAAAGGCTCCCTGTCCAGAGGAAAGCTCAATTCCCGACCTTCCAGCCACATAGCAAGCCAGTGTCACCCGTGAAAGGCCAAATTTCTTACTCCTTGAGAGGAAAGCCTTGGCACTGTGACCCAGGACTCACCAAAGTCCTGAGTCTTGTACCTGGAACAATAAGGGCATGTGACATCATGAGCATCAGGGCTGTTCCTCAGTCAGACCGAGGAGCAGCATGAAGGAAACGTGGAAGGCGCAGGCCTGCCGGGGGAGGATTGGCATCTGCTCAGGTAGGAGCCCTGGCTGGTTCCCTGCCGCATACTGGTGCTAAATGCTCCATCCGCTTCCCAGATCATGCCAGGGCAGAAATCTCGGAAGTATTGGTCCGTGTGGCTGTTGAGCACTTGAAATGTTGCTCTTGTGGCTGATAAGCCTGGCTTGTTTCATTTTAACTAATTTAAAGTCAACTAAAATAGTCCTGCATAGTTAGTGCCCACTATATGAGACAGCCCAGGTCCAGAAGGTTCTGGCTATTTAAGGCTATCTGGAAAAGCCCACAGATAGACCCTGTCATCTGTTTCATGTGACTACAAGCTCCTGCTGCTGCTTGTCAGTGCATACAGAAGAGCAGGCATTCTTCGAATCAGTGGCCCATACCAGGAGGGTGCAGGTGCATTACTGTGCTCTCACAGTTACTGCATCTGACACTGCATCTTTTTTTTTTTAATTCATTTAATTTTACGTTCATTCGCTGAACATCATCACAACATACAAAATGCAATTTCCCATCCAGAATACACTGTAAAGTAGCATAATCATACATGTTATCATCAGCAAGTAATTTTCCATTTCTTGTATCATATATATACATATACACACACACACACACACATATATATGTATGTATATACATACATACATACATATACAGTGAAAGGACCAAGCAGAGAAAAGTAGGCAACAGGGAGCCCCCATGGGAGACAGCTGTGCCGTAACCTTAAACAGGTGTGTTAGACACGTACAGAATCTGGGCGGTGTTCAGCACGGCCTTCACACGCTGTGGTGGCTGCTTGTGACCGAACAGGTGGGAAAAAAGACCTGTCACGTGCCCTGCCAAAGCAAGGCAGGACTGAACTATTGGGAGGAACATTCAGAAATCCAAGGCATTGGGGCCCCGGGACCAAAAAAGTATAAATGTAATTGTTAGGTTAATGCAGTGTGATTGCATGCCTATGAAGATGCGTCTACATATTACATATATAGTTACATGTACTTACATACTGTGTCCTCTGAGGATGTCTACATAGAATTCCTTCCGTTCTCAGAACTTCTGTTTATTCTGTGTACACCTCTCTTACCGGTGTGACAAAAATAAGTACAGCCTGTTTTCACTTTCTAAATATGTTCACTTTATACATCTTGGCCAACCAAATTCCTATTCCAAATTCGTCCTGTTTTTATGCACCAGCTAGTGAGGGGAAGCTGTGGCATTGAGAGAGTTACTGACTATTAAGAGCTGGTGTCCCTTTTGGTCCCCTGTCCTGTGGGATGGCAAAGCTGACACTCTCCCTAACCTGTGAACCGCAGCTATTTGTCCAGGGTTGCCCAGTCAGGGTCAGCCTTCACTCCGAGGGACTGGATTGCTTGTGAAAGGCCATCAGGTGCACTGCAGTGATGATCCCGTGGCCCTGCCCCCAGAGCTGTGCCGCAGTTCCAATGTGCAGGGAGCTCTGAGCACCACTGCTGTGGTGTGCCAGAGCTGCTTTGGTCCTGAGGCTTCAGCTGCTGGACCCACAGGGGTGGTGACGGCAGAACATGTGTGACTGACTCGTCGGTGTTTTCTCTTTGCAGTAAAAGAAGCCGGAAGAGATTTCACCTACTTAATTGTGGTGATTATTGGGATCGGCATTACAGGTTGCAAACCGCAAGTATAACCCCCCAGAGTCTTCGTAATGCCCCTCTTTGTCTTGCTCTCGCTTTGCTTCATCTTCTTTGTTTTTGAATTTTCAGGTGGTTTGTTCTATGCAATATTCAAAGAACTTTTTTCTTCATCCAGTCCTAATAAGATATATGGGAAAGCCTTGGAAAAATGCAGATCACATCCCGAGGTTGGTTCTGGGCGAGCAAGGCTCACATGGCAGTGCAAGATGGCTGGCTGTGAGGATGTCAGGAGCTCTTGGTTCTGTACTGGAGACACTTTGATGGAGAGCAGCCCAAGGTCAATGCAAGGCTGTGTTTTTTAGACATAGGAAAGGGTTGTTTTACGAATGGTTCTTAGACACTAAATGTTTAGCATACACATGGTAAGTTTCTGGTCATTCAAACCAGGCTGTTCCTGGCCTCCTGCCTATGCCAGTAGTGGTTGGCACTTGCTGAGAATGAATTATGCAGGCATGGTGCTTGGTGGCTCAGAGCCCCGTCCTCCCATCTGCGGTCGGTACTCCATCATCTGTTTGCAGAAGGGGAAACTGACACAGCGGTGATGGAGCTCCACGTGGCCGTGAACCTGGACCAGGCTGGCTGATTCCAGATCCCGTGCTTGTGCAGAGTCTGCCCAGCTCATCAGGAGCAGCAGACATGTGGAAAGGCTCCCTGTCCAGAGGAAAGCTCAATTCCCGACCTTCCAGCCACATAGCAAGCCAGTGTCACCCGTGAAAGGCCAAATTTCTTACTCCTTGAGAGGAAAGCCTTGGCACTGTGACCCAGGACTCACCAAAGTCCTGAGTCTTGTACCTGGAACAATAAGGGCATGTGACATCATGAGCATCAGGGCTGTTCCTCAGTCAGACCGAGGAGCAGCATGAAGGAAACGTGGAAGGCGCAGGCCTGCCGGGGGAGGATTGGCATCTGCTCAGGTAGGAGCCCTGGCTGGTTCCCTGCCGCATACTGGTGCTAAATGCTCCATCCGCTTCCCAGATCATGCCAGGGCAGAAATCTCGGAAGTATTGGTCTCTAATATCTTCTTTTTCAACCCACTGATTTAACTGGACTCTGACAGTCTTTAGAACCAGGGAGGAGGAGGCAGAGAGGGAAAAGCATCCCTAAACAAACTGAAAATGAGCAGGGACTGGGAAAGTTCCCATTACAGTTATCGGTATTCCAAGTTATAACTGGCAAGAAACACCCTCACAGGCTGCAAAAGTAAATGTGAGTAGAAGCGAGCAAGCGTTAAGATGCACCTAAAATTTAAGAGGTGAAAAGTGAGCCTTTCGTAGCTGTGCCGGCATTTTGAACAAAATGAAACTCCATAGCGCAAATACAAAGCAAGGAATTCAGTCCATCACATCGCCACTTGCAAGAGTTCTGTGAATAAGAATTAAACTGTAACCATTCGATGTGGTCAGTGTTCACCAGTGTCTGCTCTACGGGCACCATTCCTGCCTGGAAGGTTTAAACGCGAAGGCCTCCGATGTGCCCAGGACAGTCGCTCCTGTAGTTTCACATCCTCAGTGTTTAATCTCTGTCCTCTTAACGTGCGATTCTTTTCTACTGACACCTGGGAAATGTGATACTGAAAACACTCAACAGACAGATAAGAAAATTTTTTATCATATTGGCACCCACATGTCCTTAGTTTGACATCAGGTTTGCATTTTTTTTTAGAGAGGGTTCCAACATATTTCCAACTCAATAAAAACTACAGTTCTACTTCATGTGAATTTTCATTAGGAATAATCTATTCATGCCTGTAAGATCTGGTAAATATATCGTTATTGTTTTTTTTCTTTAATGTGTTTAGTGGCTTCAAAAATCATTTTGCCTTCTTAGCTTTCAGTATTAGAACTCATTAATTTACTCGTTAGAGATGTTTACACATTTTATATTCTAAACACAAGGTGTTAGTAAAGAAACACATGAACCCTTGTTTTGATTTTTATAAGGCAAGCAAGAACAGGTTAACTTTAACCTACACTGTTTTGAAACTTCAAGTGACCCTGAAGTTACCTATTTTAACCTCTGCATGAAAGTTTTAAATTATGTATAGGATGTTTTCTGAGTAATAACTTTTTTTTTTTAATTTTCTCATTATTGGAGTCATTTTCATAATGGTCCTAGGCTTACTGACTTGTGTTTCAAAAACTCAATCACTTGGTTTATCCTAAAATATTTCCTCAGGCAACTTCACAAACAGCAGTAAAGCACTGCATTTCCTCTGCAGGTGATCGGCATCTTTGGCGAGCCGGTTAAAGGCTACGGGGAGGCGACACGGCGCGGTCGAAGGCAGCATGTCAGGTACCCGTCTGCTCACGTGGGAAGCACAGGGACGGTTTTCAGGTGGACAGGACGTGGACTTCCGTTCTCTCATTTTCTTGGCAGTTTTGTGGAATATGTAAAAGATGGGCTGAAACACATGCGAGTGAAATTCTACATCGAGGGCTCTGAGCCGGGGAAGCAAGGGACAGTGCACGTGGAGGTGAAAGAGGTGAGAGTGACACGAGGTGGTTCTGAGTGCCGTGTCAGGAACGTGCTGGGAATGAAAAATAACACCTGGAATGCATCTTTTTCAGAACCCTGAAAGCAGCAAGTGTGAGTTCCGGTATATATTTGTGGAAGTTGAATCCTATCCTAGAAGAACCATTGTCGTCGAAGACAATCGGTCCCAAGAGAAGTGAAAGACTCCAGCGAGCGCTGTGAACTGGGTGTTGACCGGCGAGGACTGGCCGCTCTGACCGTCGCAGCCCTCCTCCACGTCTGTGCAGAAGAAGGCAGGCGAGCACGCATACTCCTCAAGTAATGTGATAGGGCAGTTGTCGCATCCAGACAGCCTAAGTTAGAGATTTCCGTGTGAAAAATCATGACGTTGAGCGTATTTCCTGTTATCCCCTTGAACTGTCAATCATGACAGTATTTCTGCTCTACTTAACATCTGTCATGATAGGAAATTTTTGTTACTGAAAATTTTACACCATATAAATAAAATCGATTTCAGTATTTTATGCTTTTTAAATATTATGTAACTGTATAATAATTAAATAACAAAGATGTCAGACACAGCTTCCTCCACTTTGTTGCAAGGAAAATGTGACAGTATCGGGAGCTGCAGTGAGCCCGGCAATGAGCGGTCCTTCGGGTTATCACGGAAGGACAGTGCACTGCATCTTCTTAGGGGTCTAGCGACATCGTCCCCTCTGGGGGTCGAGGGCATCCGGCATGGTGGGAAAGCGCATGCTCCTGAGCAGGTGAGCTGGGCCCTCGCCCCACCTTTCCTAGCAGGCCTCTGGACCTCGTCAGATCTCGCTGCCCTGCATTTTGTTGGGACGACTGGACGCAATGACACGTACAAGTGCCCAGACGGTTGGAGGCACCCATGAAGCACCCCCTTCTTGTTTAGAGCTTGCCAGAAGAAACAGAAATAAACAAGAGGCATTTAAATGTGTGTGTGTGAGGGGCCCTGTTTTAAAATACGGACACCCTATTTTATTTGAAGTATTTACTGGGGATTTAGAAAAACGTCTTCACTCACAAAGTTCTTATTTACATATGTGTGTAAGTGCTGTGCATTGGGAGAGGCCAGCAACGCCTGAATCCACAGTGGCTTCAGTGTGAGGTGTCCCTGTAAAGTTTCTTCCTTCTCCTTTAGAAGAGTTTCTGCAATGCTCTTGAAATTGAAGGATACTCAGGATAGAAGGACCCCTAGGCAATCTGTCCCCTTCTAATTTACCTCCCTGCTTATTTTAGTTAAGGTTTTTGGGTTTATTATTTATTTTGAATGTTTTTCATTTTAATTATAAAAATTTCAGGACTATCCAGTGGCATGGTAGTTAAGGCACCTGGATCCCACATGGCATAACATTAGGTTCAAGCCCCAGACCCATCTGCAGGAAAAACATGCCAGGCATGTATGCACACATGCCCAAGATCCTGGAAAGAGAAATGGAGAAGGATTGCAGCTTGACTCCCCTGGGAGGAGAAGGTACTTTCTCACGTTGCCTGTCTCTCTCTTTCTCCAGAGAGCACACACAATCTCTGGCAGGTTTAAAAAAAATAAATAAATGGGGGAGCAGAATTTGGTGTGGTGGTTAAAGGCACTGGACTCCCACATGGCGAGCCATAGCTCTAGTCCTGGGCCTGGCTGCTTGCTTTCTTACTTTCCCTTTCTTTCTCTTTCTCACTCCCTCTCTGGTCAAGTTAAACAAATAAATAAAGTTAAATAAAATAATTCTTTAAAAAAAGAAAATCGTGCACGTGCGTGTATGCCCACATTCCTGAGAGGACGATGGAAGGGAAGGTATTGTGGCATGGCCATGTCCCTAGGGGTTGATTTCTCACTTTCCCTCTCTCTGTCTCTGTGTACTCTCCAGAAAGAACACGTGCTCTATGGCAAAAAAAAATATTAAAAAAAAAAACAACTGATGTATACATCTGATTCTGCCAATATCCCGACTTCTATCTTTCTTAAGAATTTGCAAAAGATGTGGTTGTTCCAAGGCTTTCATCATTCCCTCATGCCTGCTTGGTGAACTCATGTCAGAATTAAGTGTTGATTCAGGGGCTGGCAGGTAGCATGGTAGTTAAGAGTGCTGGACTCCCACATGGCCGACCACAGTTTGAGTCCCAGACCTGGTGGCTTGCTTTCTCACTTTCCCTCCCTCCCTCCCTCGGTCTCCCTCTCCCTCTCCCTCTCCCTCTCCCTCCCTGGTCAAAGTAAAGAACTGAGTGTGGAGGAGCACTTCCACTCATTGTTTGCTCTCTTCCTCAATGAAGAAGTTGTTGGCAGCACAGGAACTAATCCCAGGCTCTGCTTCGGCAAAGCAAGACTCCCAGCCTAACTACCTTGCAAGCTCTTTCCCCAACTTCGCTCAGTGCTTTCTTTTCTTTAGTAAACTACTGTAATATTTACTTCTGTTTCTCTTATTTTCATCTGAATGTTCCCCAAGTCCTGTTTCCTGGATTTCCACTCAGGACCACACTTTATATCCTACTCTCTGGAGTAATTGCTCTGTGTCCCACCTATCAGGTTTCATTCATTTACTCAACAAATACTGAGTACATGCTGGATGTCAGACTTACGCTAGTTCAAAGATCCCTAAAAGGAAAAATTCATCCCCCTATTTCAAATGGTCCAGTGAATTGGGACTGTGTAAAGGGACGGTGGCCAGCTGAGGGCAAAATCATTGTGCTTCTGACAGTACTGTGTCGCAAGCCCCTCATCCCTGTCGTCATAATGGGGCTAAGAAACAGATTTTTGTGTTTCTGTTTTAATTTTTGTTTGTTTACTGGGAATGTGCCATCAGAGGGGAGAAGAGGTTGGAAATATAGGGAAGATGAGAGGCAGTGATGGAGCACAGTCTTGGCAAATGTGACGGAGCTGGGCTGGCAGGAGACGGGAGGGCATGAACAAGGAAGTCTCTGTCTGACAGATCGGGGGTGTTGCAGCAGATGAGCTGTGAGTGTCACCAGCATAGAGAGGTTGGGGCGGGGGGAGGCTGGAAAAGGGCAGTAATAAATGCAAGGGGACTTCCATGTATCTGGATAGCTTTCCAATGGGACAGTGGCACAAACAGCCCAGAACAGACCCACACACAGAAACTGCTTTTGCTTTGGAGTAAATTTTGTTACAAAGCAAATGGGAAGGGAGTCACTAGTCAACAGATAGTGCTAGAACACCCAGAGATCCATGGGGGGTGGGGGAACAAAAATGGACCTCCTCCCTACACCACTCTAGAGTCAATTCCAGGTAAATTAAAACCTTACAGTTTTGGGGCCAGCAGATGGTGTAATGGACTAGCAGATTGCTGGACTCCCACGTAGTTGACCACACTTGGAGTCCCAGATGCGGCAGCTTAAAACTCATGCTGGGCACGTGTGCATACGTGCCCAAAAATCCCAAGAGGAGAATGGAGGAGATGGGATTGTGGAGTGGCCATACCCCCCTCCCGGGGGGTGATTTCTCACTTGCTCTCTCCCCCCTTCTGGTGACAGTTCATGCCCTATAGAGGGGCTGGCAGGTAGCATGGTAGTTAAGAGTGCTGGACTCCCACATGGCCGACCACAGTTTGAGTCCCAGACCTGGTGGCTTGCTTTCTCACTTTCCCTCCCTCCCTCCCTCTGTCTCCCTCTCCCTCTCCCTCTCCCTCTCCCTCCCTGGTCAAAGTAAAGAACTGAGTGTGGAGGAGCACTTCCACTCATTGTTTGCTCTCTTCCTCAATGAAGAAGTTGTTGGCAGCACAGGAACTAATCCCAGGCTCTGCTTCGGCAAAGCAAGACTCCCAGCCTAACTACCTTGCAAGCTCTTTCCCCAACTTCGCTCAGTGCTTTCTTTTCTTTAGTAAACTACTGTAATATTTACTTCTGTTTCTCTTATTTTCATCTGAATGTTCCCCAAGTCCTGTTTCCTGGATTTCCACTCAGGACCACACTTTATATCCTACTCTCTGGAGTAATTGCTCTGTGTCCCACCTATCAGGTTTCATTCATTTACTCAACAAATACTGAGTACATGCTGGATGTCAGACTTACGCTAGTTCAAAGATCCCTAAAAGGAAAAATTCATCCCCCTATTTCAAATGGTCCAGTGAATTGGGACTGTGTAAAGGGACGGTGGCCAGCTGAGGGCAAAATCATTGTGCTTCTGACAGTACTGTGTCGCAAGCCCCTCATCCCTGTCGTCATAATGGGGCTAAGAAACAGATTTTTGTGTTTCTGTTTTAATTTTTGTTTGTTTACTGGGAATGTGCCATCAGAGGGGAGAAGAGGTTGGAAATATAGGGAAGATGAGAGGCAGTGATGGAGCACAGTCTTGGCAAATGTGACGGAGCTGGGCTGGCAGGAGACGGGAGGGCATGAACAAGGAAGTCTCTGTCTGACAGATCGGGGGTGTTGCAGCAGATGAGCTGTGAGTGTCACCAGCATAGAGAGGTTGGGGCGGGGGGAGGCTGGAAAAGGGCAGTAATAAATGCAAGGGGACTTCCATGTATCTGGATAGCTTTCCAATGGGACAGTGGCACAAACAGCCCAGAACAGACCCACACACAGAAACTGCTTTTGCTTTGGAGTAAATTTTGTTACAAAGCAAATGGGAAGGGAGTCACTAGTCAACAGATAGTGCTAGAACACCCAGAGATCCATGGGGGGTGGGGGAACAAAAATGGACCTCCTCCCTACACCACTCTAGAGTCAATTCCAGGTAAATTAAAACCTTACAGTTTTGGGGCCAGCAGATGGTGTAATGGACTAGCAGATTGCTGGACTCCCACGTAGTTGACCACACTTGGAGTCCCAGATGCGGCAGCTTAAAACTCATGCTGGGCACGTGTGCATACGTGCCCAAAAATCCCAAGAGGAGAATGGAGGAGATGGGATTGTGGAGTGGCCATACCCCCCTCCCGGGGGGTGATTTCTCACTTGCTCTCTCCCCCCTTCTGGTGACAGTTCATGCCCTATAGCAAAATCCTCTCAAAAAAAAAAAAAATTCAGTTTTTAGAAAATGACAGAGGAGAATACCCTAGGACACTTTGGAAAGAATTTCTTTCACAAGACACAAAATCAAAAATGAAAAGGATGGATTTTTAACTTTGGAGCTGGACGGTGGTGCATCAGTAACACAACCCTCTGCAAGGCCGACCCATGTGGGAAAGTCCCCGGTTCACAGAGACCTCTTTGGACACCCAGGGGCACGCGTGCCCACAGTTCAGGGCAGGCCAGGGGTAGATAGCAATGTCAAGACCCTACTGCGGTCTGTCTCCTGTCTGTCTCTCTAGCTCATGGAGGAAAGAAAACAAAACTTAAAGCTAAGAACTTGTGGAAAATAAAACATCAGAGTCAGCCACTGGGAGAAAACGTCACAGAACAGAGCAAACGAAGGTGTGCAGTTCAGGACATATGAGAATGCGGAGAAGAAAGCAGGCTATTCAGTAGCAAGGAAAACACGTAGTGAACTTCAAGAAGCACTTTCAGCCTCACTAAAATCAAGAAAATGCAGAATGGGCTTCTAATC